TCTCTCTGTTATGATTTCTCACGTCTTATCGGTTCGCAAACATCGATCGATGACTTTTCACACGGCCTGAGTGATGAGTAGTGCGTAGGTACTCTCTCGGTGTCTTTCCTACTTGGGGGCTCATTGAGCATATATCAATGATTTCTTACATAATTACGAGTAAAATGCACCTATGTAAATTTCAATGTAAAAAGTACCTATATAATTATAGACATTCGCACATATTGACAAGCTATTGGAAGTGCATATGAATATCAAAATACAGGCATAGGAAGTTACTAATACAGCAATGAACTTTGTCGAATGTTTTGCGGAAAATATTTATTGCTTTGCTCGTTAATCAATCGCTAGTCATTGAATCGTTATAAATTATTATAATCGTGATATCGCTTTGGATACCTGATATGCTGTGAGACTGAGTCTCAAGAGAGACTGTGTCTCAAATGGTCACATATCATTTCCTTGTTCTCATTTGAATCGTGCCCAGTGAAATGCGTGTCTCACGAATCACGATATCGCTGGCTCAACTCAACTCACGACACATTACGACCACGAACAAGAAATTAGAAAACCGTGAACGTAGGGGACTTGGGACACAGTCCTACGTACCAAGCCAGTCATATAGTGTCTCGGTACGGTTCGAATCGGTGACGCCCGATGGCGAATGCCAGTGCCCATAGATCCGCGTGGCACCCCTGTGCAATGACCAATAGCCAACGGCCCAGGCCCATGAGCGCGGCGAACCCTATGGCTGTCGGCTCCTCGGCGGGGTGGACCCCACCTGGTCCAGCACCGTCCAGACATGGGGGCGGAGGGAGGGAGGGGGAGGGTCAGCAGGCATCTGTCGACCGCGCACATGCCGCTCGTCACAATAGATGGGAGAGGATAATTTCCGCCACGCGCCCGACACGCGAGAAAACAGCTGCGGCAGTAGCCGAAAGGCGAAGGACCAAAATCCACCTTTCAGCCGCGGCGAATGAACGCTATCGCCGTGACGGCTGTCGCGTGCGGCCATAAGGGCGAGTTTGCTGTGGTAGGCGGCGGCGGATGGCCCGTAGTGCCGGAGCCAGCTGACGCGGGAGGGGAGAGGCGGCTCGGCGGCGGCGTGCGGGCGGCGCGCGGGACCCAGTCGCTGGCCGGTCGGCGGAGGGGTTGGTGCGTGCGGCGCGAGCGGGCGAGATCAGCTGCGATGTCACCGGAGCAGTGCCGCATGGAGGACTCAGCCGTCATCTCCTGCTGTCCCGACCTCACCGTCACCATCAGGAAGAAAATGAACTCGTTCAAAAAGTTCAAACGGAGGATGGGCCTCGGTGAGTACAATGACCGCCATTTACGCAAACGCATGCCAATGTAAAATGTTAGTAATTGTCGGTCGTGTCATTAATTCGGAAAGGTGGTTAGAATGGTAGCTCACTATTCGACTGTCGTACCTATGTTTGAACTGGAACGTCGATGGAGCTTGAGCTTCGTGTTGGAACACGAATGTAGTGTCTTGGTAGCGTCGCTGGAATAATGACGGACGACTGTTTGCTGCGTTCGCTGTCCGTCTGTGACCTCTGGGGTCATGACACCGTGACCTGAGGTAACACCGCCGTCCCGCTGGTGACCGTCCTGCGCCCTGGGCTGTCTGGGTCGGCGGACAGCGCCAGCCAAGTTGTCAGTCACCCGATACCGTCCCAGAAACGGACCATGGACGACTTACTGCTGGTGTGGATTAGGGGGATCTAGTGTCGGCTGCGGACGGCGGACCCACGGGGATGTGTGGCATTACCGGTCACGAACCGGGCAGGCCGACTCCGCTTGCCAGCCGACTCCTCAGCGGCGTCACCGACGCGCAGCACGCGACGCTGCGGTCTGGCCGGCAGACGGTTCCCTCGCCTTACCGTGTGAGCCGATCCCAAAGCCTGATACCGAGCCAGAAACTATGCAAATCCAGCCACATGCGGCCACCTGCGACGGCGGCGGGCGACTTTTCGAGGCTTTGGCCGTGCCCAGTTCTGTGAACGGTGCAGTGCCACGTCTACCGTGACTGTCAGTCCGCCATGTATGACCGTCCGTCCGTCTCTATGTCACTCCGTAAGCGCTGATACGTTACTTGACCTCATCGAGAAGCCGTCGCCACCTCACCCCCTCCCGTGACTCCACCCTGGCACCAGACGACTGACCTGGAGAGGAGCCAGTCTGCGCGGACTCCGAGCCCAGCCCCACTGTGTCCTCGAGTTGACCGGGCTGGCTGAGGAACTGTGCCGACTTTGCCGACGCTCTATGTTGCCGTAGCGGCGGACAAGTTCCATGCGTTCAAAAGTTGACGTGTCCGTCTCAACGGTGATGTGCGGCGCATTGTTTTGGTCTCAGGAGGACCCGCTTGTCCTTGTAGCTGACCCAAGGTCACCCTCCATCCCCGCTGCCACCACGACCGCAGCTCGACGACAAAGCTTCTGTTCTTGAGCTCTTCTGAGGACAGGCCGGGGGCCATTTTAATTGTCTTCTTGCACTGTAGAATTCTCAGTGAGTTCTCTGTACGGCATTGTTGCTGGTTTTTTTTTTTTTTGCCGAGTCTGGTTCGGACACCGTGAGAGCGCCGACGGTCGGCCGGCCGACAATAAACCCACCCCGACGGCCGGATAACATTTTACCACCGTGGAGTGGTGGTTTTTGAGACTGTGCCGGCGGTCGGTGGCCCGCGCGCGGTCTGATTCTCACGGCTCTCGACGGGTTGTCCCATGACGGTGTCGCCGCGCGGCTGTTCTCTCTGCCGGGCGGTGTTCAGACCGGTGACGGAGACCGCGTTCCTCCGCGCCAGCAGCCCAGTTTCTGCGGTAGCGCACGCCGCCGGCGGTCACGTGAGTCCGACTTCTGCGGTGGCCGGCGCCCGTCGGCAGTCACGTGACCGGCGCTGCTACGGAAGCGGGGTGACGCGCCCCACTCTGAACCGCCCACTTCCCTTTTGAACGGTGGCATTTCCCGCGACTTTCGTTAGTCATTAGGCGCATCCTCTGTGTGCCACATTCCCACCGGACGCGCCGGCGGGCGGGGCTGGCGGGGCCACCCTCGCGCCTGTCCGCCGGAAGGACAGGACAGGCACAGGGGTCCGACGGTGACCTGTCTGAGCTCCGGCGGGTGTCCCGAGTGTCCAGTGTCCACTGTGACCAGTCGCTGGTCCCCCTGGCTCCGGTATGCTATACGACCCAGCTGTCTGCGGCTGGCACGGCTCCCACGCGGCCCCAGCTCGGCCGAGGAGCGCGGTGTCGGGTGCCGTCCGTCCCGTCCGTCCTCGTCTCATGTGACACGGCGCCGGACGTCTTTGTTTCGCCGCACAGCCGTCACGGTATACGGATGCACGGCTGGGTGGCCGGCCCTCCGCTCCGCACCCCTCTCGCTCCCCGCCGCTGTCCCACCGGCTGAGAACTTCTCAGCGCCGATTAACCCCGGCGGTCCCACAGTTTCTAACAAGGCCGGCGGCGGAGCGTGCGCAGTTCGCCATTAGCGCCGCGGCCGCCACGCAGCGGCTCCTGCAGTCCCACACCGCGCCGCAGCCCTTCCCAGGCAGTGTCGGAAAGAACGGCCGAGAACGGCGCCGCGGAACGTCGACAGAGGAACGGGCCGCGGAACGGTGCGCTGATGTCGAGCGAGGCGTGACTGGACGTCAGTCATGTGACGGCTGATGTCAGCTGGATACGGCTGATGTCAGCTGGGTGACGGCCGATGACGGGCACTTCCGGCGGGTGTTGACAGGCGCTGCCGTCATGTCGCGTGAGCGGTGACGGATGACGCGGCCGGCCGTCTGATGACTGATATGATGGCCGGGGACAGATGGGGTCGGACGGCTGGCAGCTGGGGACTGATCCACGGACCTCCCGGCGCTGCGGCTGGGTGCGTGTGTCGCGCGCTGACCAGCGCTGTAACACTTCGGTGGCCATCTGCCGACCGCCGGCCGGCGCTCGGCCTCGCCCCGGCGCTCGCGGCAGCCATATGACGCCGGCCTCACGCCGAGACCCACGCGGCGGCCGGCGGCTAATGGTCGCAGTAAATCCCCGCCATCATTACCCGAGTCCGGGATGAATGGGTGCCGCGCGGCTGCCGTTCCGCGACCTCCGCGCACCAGCTGCGCGTCAGCCGCCGTCCTGCTGCCGGCTCCGACGGACGCCAACTGACGGACGTCGTCTGTTTTCGGCGGATGGCAGCCGGCACACAGCCGCCAACTGGAGCAATTGCAGACAATTGCCCGACAGCATACCGCAGGAGGTCGGCGCGGCGGCGGCCCGCCGAGCTGCGTGAGGCTTTCTCCGGGCACGAGGCCGCCGAGTGCGGGTGCCGGGGCGGCCCAGGGCGCCGTGCCGCTCCCACATGCCTCTCGCCAGTGTTCCGGTACCTTTGTTTTATACCCGACCCGGCCACCGTGGGAGCGGAATGCGCTGGTGACGGGTGCAGTCGCTCCAACAACAATGAGCCCCGTTATATACACATGTTTGGGCAATATGACGGCGCTGCTGAGGCCGTCGACAACATCCCCTGTCAGCGATAGCATCAGCCGACGCACGCCACCAGTTCCGAACCAATCAAAGGGTGAGAAGGTGTGCTCTGCCCGCGGCCACCATTGTTCCCGCCGGCCGATCTCGCGGCGGCCGGCAGGATATCGGCGCCGGCTGCACGCGGCCCGGCGCCCGGCCGCTGCCGCTGCTGGTAGCGGCTTTGTGTAGCCCGCGTCCGGTGCCGAGCGGCGACTTTCCTTCGGCGCCAGCCAGGTGCGGAAGCGGTGCTGCGGCCGGCTGCCCTCGGAGGGCGAGCGGTCGCCGCCGCATCCGGCGCCGTCCTCCGCTCGGCCGAGCGCCGTCGGCCGCCGGCGCACGAGCGAGGAAACGCATTTCCGGCGCCGTGCCGGCCGCCGCCGGAGACACGGCCCGCTGCCGGCCGTCACGGGGTTAAACGAGCCGGCCGGCCGTGTCCCCTAGCCACCACCGCCGCCGCCGCCGCCGCCGCCGCCGCCGCCGCTGCAGTCAGTGACGGAACGAGCTGCCGGCCGCCGGCGCCCGCAGCCGCTCTAGCCGCGAGTGACGGTCGGACGGCCTCGTGACGCACGTCGTTCGTGACGGACCGTCGCGCTCGGGGACAATAGCCGGAACCGACGGCACTTGGTGTGCCCGTCCCGGCAGCGTCAGTGTGTGATAGTGCGTCGTGTCGCGCGGTCACCTCCGCGCCGCGAGGGACCAGCAATGAAGCTGAAGGCGCTCAAAAAGCTCAGGAACATCGGCGGTGGACTCGGTACGTAGTCGTGCGTGTGTGCATGTATAATGCACGTGTCCTCACGCTGATGGGGGAGCCGGCGAGGGGACGCCAGCAGAGCTCCGCAGGGAATGCGGCCCCGTTCGCACGGCTTTGTTTGGGCGCCGGCTGGCGGGGTGACGCTATTCATCGATTTTTGGCCGGCTATCGGCGGCAGCTGGCTGCGGTTCATGGCCCGGACCGGGACGGGGAGCTCAGCTGGAGCGTGCCGGCCGCGTCAGCGGGCCCGCGGGAGCCGCGCGGAGGGGACGCCATTCCCAGGGGGGTCGTCAGGCCTCTGACGTTCAATGGGCGCCGGAACCTGCGCCGACGGACGGCCCGGCGCCGGCGCTGAATGGAAGCATTCAGCAGCAAAAGCGATCCGGCCGTGGGGCGGGATCCGCGGACCGCGCCCTGTTGCGTAATTTGTAGGCGTTGTGTGGTCCGTGCGTGCCGACAATCAACGGCAAAAATACTTTCGAATTTGAACCATTTGGATGAGAATGAGCCTAATTGCTATTGAATTCTTGTATTCGACTAGCACAGTTCAGCTAAGTATTCACTCTCGGTCCCTTGTTCTGCGGCGTGGAACCGGAGACCGGTCATTTCGTTTGGAATGTTGGAGACGAATGTGCGCGTGCGAGCTCCATTAGCATTCCACTCCGCTTACTAAGCCGGCCGACAGTGAAGTGCTCGTCATCCCTCCTTGTGTTATACTTGGCACTAATTACGGACTCGGAGAATGCCCGCTCGCTCTCCCGGAATGCCGTGCCTGCGAACCAGAGCGGCCCGTATCCGGGTTCTGAGGTTACCTGTGTCTCTGCTCCCGGCTCTGGCGGCTGTCTTTTCCTGTCACCGAGATGGTGATCTCAGCGGAATTCCTCGCACGGCAAATCACAGCCGTTCGGTGTGTTTTATCTGCAAGTGCATGAGAATTAAAACGTTCTGGATATAGGACATTTGACTTTCCACAACGAACTCAGTATGATGACGTCTTTGCCCTCGCGACGTCGTCCGTCTCTCAGTTTGTCAGTTGACAGCGCCGCTGATGTCTGAGAAGCCATGGGAAAGTGCCACCCCGGCGCCCCGGTGGACACGGGACAGTGCAGCCGCGGTGGACACGGGGCGGTACCCCTGCCCGGCCGGACGTCGTCGCCCCCGTCGGAGCGTATAGCTAGGGACCGGACGCGTCGACTCGTATCCGGTGTGCGCACCAGTGCGGCTCACCCCGATGAGGGTCTCATCAAGCCCCTCAGTCCACCCCACCTGGATCTGGGTTACCGACGCTGCGGCTCGCTACGGCGGCCGACTGCCGTTCACACTTGGCCAGGCGACGGAACCCCTTCTTCCGGCGTGGGCGGCGGCGCCGGAAGCCAATTAATTCCCGGTCACGGGTCGGCGCTGAGCAAACACCTCCGTCCGGGCCGGATACAAAGGCCAGGACGGGGCGGCGCCGCCGGATGTGTCGGGCGCTCCTCGGCAGCGCTGGGTCCGCCCTCGGCCGGCCCGCTCGGGCGCGCACGTGCGGCCCGGGTCCGCCCTGCCCGACAGGAATTCCAGCGGGCGGGTCCCGGTCCTGCCGCCGACACTGAGGGAGGCGGGAGCGGCGCCGGAAAAAGGACGGGAATAGCGCCGGGCGGGGCGGCCGAGGGGCGCCGCTGTCTCTCCCCTGTCCCGGCTGTCAGCGCACCTGGCGAGGGACCGGGACGGAGACGGACGGGAGACGGGAATGACGGCGCGGACAGACTGGGTCTCAGGGACGGCGGCGGCGGCCTGGCCAGCGCACAGCTGTCGTCGCTCTGAGCACCGCCTGCCGTATAACCGTGGGAATTGGCCGCGTCAGAGGAGACATGTGAGCTCTGTCGGGCGCTGAGCGGCACCAGACTGAGCTGCCGGTGTCTCCTGACGGAGACAGCTCAGCCGAGACGTCGCCTCTGAACGAGCGGGGTCGACTTGCCCTCTGAAGTGCAGACGCGCGCTGCAGAGTGCAGGCTGTCGCGCTGATGTGCTCAATGAGGTGGATTGGTAAACGAGTGCAACGCTTTAGAGCGGTGACACTTGGATCGGTGGGAATTCATTACAGATGATTTGGAACTTGGAACGAACTGAAAAATGAAATAAAATAAATCAACAAGGACTGAGCTGAACGGCGGACACGCCGCTGATAAAGGTTGTTGCTGTACAAAAACCGGCGTTTTGTCAACGTCAGGCCAGTTCAAGTCCTACATAGTCGGTATATTGGGCCTTGGGTCAAGTACTCGTGGACCTGAACTTGGGCGGCCGCGACCGGAGACCTCGTGTGTGTATGTTTACCGATAACCACCCCGGGCCGATAGGAATCGTGTAGTACGATAGCCGCCAGAAACATCACTTTTTCTGGGTGAGAGGGGCCACTCGGCGGGAAGACCACAGTCTCGAGTGTTCGCGCATTTTGTGAAGTCATTGGATGTCGTCAGAAGTCATTTCTTGGAATGTCGGTTACTCTTTTTCCCCTGACCATTGTATGCATATCAGCCAGCACAATGCTCAGTTACGCCCCCTCAAACGCTTACGATCTGTCAAGGAGCCATCTCTCAGCCTTCATCGCTCTCTTCCCACACCTACACTGCAGATGACCTAGCCAGCTGATCTGACCTGATGTGACCTAACCTGCGTTCTCGTCTGTTGCAGCATCGTCCACCAACAACAGCAACCGGTACCAGGCCACCAACAACCTACCTCCGCTGCTGTTCCACCCGTGTCACGGCGAGAACATCCGTCTGATGAACGGCGGCGCCCGCGCTCAGCGCGTGGACTCCTACTGCAAGGGGATCGTGTTCAGCAGCCGGCCCGTCCGCATCAACGAAAAGGTACGCACCGGCTCTCCGCTGCCTCACAGGGTGTGCTCTTGGTGGGAGGGATGGTTGAGTTTTGACCAGATGTGCAGTGAGTGGGGTCGGGATGGTGTGCGACCTTCCCTTTTTCTTGTATCGCTCCGGCTGTTATCTTTATTTCGTCCCACCCCACCCTGTCCTGGCCTCGCCTACTATGGTCAGATCGACCCAGCCCGTCTGTCCCATTTGGCTCGTACCGGAACGGCTCGGCTTGTTAGTCCCACGTGCGCCCCATGTTTTACAAGCCCCGACTCCTCGCCACGCCACCCCTGCCCCCGGCGTAACACCGCCTCCATTTACGACCGATCGGCCGGCTCCCGATCCGCTCCTCATTAGAGCTGTATCTCATTACGGCCCGCTCCGCCGCGATAGGGAGCCGCACTGTGGCTTCCCGGGAGGGCTGATTGCAGAGGGGACGCGGACGGGACTGGGGACCGGAGGAGGACAATGGACGGGGCGCGGTCTCTGTGCACAGGCGTCCGCTCGACACGGCCGGCGCGCATTCCAGGAGGTGCACCGGATGTTGTCTTTGTGCGCTCGGCGGCCGCGTCCCTCCCGGGAGGCCGTCCGTCACTCTCCCCTCCCTCTCTCCCCTCTGTCGGCGGAACCGGCGCGGGGAGGTGGCGGCTCCGCTCGACGGCTGACCCGGCGCGCCGGTGGGTATCCAGCCGGGCCGTGTGGCGGACCTTGTCGGGCCGTCACGCCCAGCCGACCCTGTCGCCGGTCCGCCTGAGAACGGAGGTCACCCGACACAGGCGGCCACGCTCAAATGCCCCGCGGCACCGCCGGGTCACGTTCGAATCCTTTTTTTTTTTGAATTTTGCTCCCGACAGGCCGAGGCCCTGGTCGGGGTAGGGGGAAGTTACTAGCTGGCAATTAGCCAGATCTTCCGTTTTACTTTACTTTAATGCCGGCTATGTTATTCCGGCCCAAGGCAATATTAAGAACAAAGTTTACGTTAGCCCGGCTCATGTGACGTCCGGTGGAAGCAAGTGCAAGGGAAAGCCAGAAAGGGTGCCAGAGTGGCAGTGCCGAGAGGGATTTTGAGTACTTACATTTCTTGCTGCTGAATCTTGATGCTGAAATGTGGTAGTGTTGTAATGTGTGCTGTTGTTGTGTTGTGAGTTCCACCAGGAAAGTCCTAACTAGAAAAACCTGGTGCCTATCTTAGAGGGCAAAACCTGTGCGCTTTTGCCAAATTGCACAGGAAAAATCCCTTTGCTTTGATATTACGTTACGTTATATCGCTAATGTGTAAGTGTGTTTGCGGAGCTATGTGTCTCGAGTGGGCCTCAACCTTTAAGAGGGATCCCTGTCGAGAACCGCGAGAGGGATGGGCAGGTGCCGATTGCCGCCGCCGCCGCCGGAGGGACGCAAACGCGCGCGCTCGCAAACATAGACGAAATCACGGCGCAACAAGAACAATGGAAACAAAAACAATTACGATGAAACCACGAGAGAAACCAAGAGAAACCAAGAAAAACCAAGAGAAAATCATGTGTCCAAGGAGTTGGGGGAGGAGCCCACCGCCGCGTGCCAATGGTCCCCGCGGCGGCGGCTGGTGCCCGTAAGCTCGGGGCTCCTACAAAACCCCCACCAAGTGCTGACTGGTATGATTACAGAACTGACGTTTCAGTGCGGACTCCAGTGACGTAACTCCATTAAACGGGTCGTTGCGGACGGCATAGTGCCGACACCTCTTTCTCCAAGCAGATGGGGGGCAGAGGAGCCCGCCGCCGCGTGCCAATGGTCCCCGCGGCGGCGGCTGGTGCCCGTAAGCTCGGGGCTCCTTAATTGACATGGCCAGTATCCAGGAAATCAAAAAGATTGAGTCCCGCGCCCAGAACCGCTATCGACGGCTTGCCGACCACGGAACTGAGCGCGAGACTGTGCTATATGGATCGGTCTAGCCTGGAATTCTTCAGGAAAGAGAAAAGCAAGTCGAGTAGATCCGGGTGAGAATCGCCGAGGAGAGTAGGAATTGAAAGTGCAAGTTGGTTGTGGGTGATATATTGGATTATAGGTTGCCTCTCTGCTTGATATTGGGGACAGTGGATCAAGAAGTGTTCAATTGTGTATCTTATGTTACAACGTTGGCAGATTGGAGGGGGGCCTTGATCAAAGATATATTCATGTGTCAATTTAGTATGTCCGATTCTAAGTCTGGCTATAATTACTTCTTTAAGCCGGGTATTTTGATAAGCAGTCGACCAGTGTCCGATAATTGGTTTGATTGGGTGAAAGTAGTAATGTGGATTTACGTCCCATTCAAACTAGCACTCTTCGAGGCCAAACTTACCCAACCGATACCCTAACCCTCACAGTCACACCCTGGGGCTGTTCGATCCTGGAATTGTGCGTTATTTCTTGGAAGGACAAAGCTCGTGCGTGACTCATGAATGGTGTCCACTGTCCAGTGTCCAATGTCTAATAGACAGCATAGACAGTGTCTATGCTAATACTGTACCTACTGTAGCGCTGACGTATTTTGCGTTTCATTTTCAGATCATGCTGCGCCTGGCTGATGTGTCTAACCAGTGGAGCGGCGTGGTGCGTCTGGGCTTCACCAGCGTCGATCCGCGCACGCACACCCACGGCCTGCCCAAGTACGCCTGTCCTGGTGAGTATTTCGCCCCTCGCGGCACACTTTTTGCCGTATCTGTTGGTCAAGTAGGGCGGGGCTCCAGTGTTGTTGCAAGCAGGTGCGAGCTCTTGATTCAAGTGGAGATTGGCCTTGTGAGTAATTCTTGGTACGTTTGCGTAGCGTAATATTTAGGTCATGTCAGCAATCGGCACTTTGATGCGCGCGAATAAAGTTCCACATGAGTTATCGGGCACACGGGGCGGGTCAAAGCTCGTTCCTTTCGAGCCGTCTGCGTGTTTGTGTTACCTACTGTTCAAATCGTCTTGCCTCGAAATCAAAACACAGCTCTGTTGACATTCGCGAAAGCTCGGCAAAGCTTTTTGCGGTTATCATCGCGCTGTTTTGTTCGGCGTCTGACTGTCAACGTTTCGGCAGATTTGACCAGCAAGCCTGGTTTCTGGGCCAAGGCGATGTCGGAGCGCTACGCTGAGCCGGGCTGCGTGTTCTTCTACTACGTCACTGCCGGCGGCGATGTCCACTTCGGCCTCAACAACGAGGAGAAGGGCATCTTCTTCTCGGGCGTGGACGTGTCGCGCCCGCTCTGGTGTCTGGTGGACATCTACGGCAACGCCACCGCCCTCGAGATCGTCCGTGAGTTCCCACAGCGCCTCGCCGTGTTATCCGCGCTTGTTTCGCTATCTCATCCGTGTAAACGGCCGGTTCCCATCACTGGCAGGCCCACTTGACTTTAGCTGACCCTGCGACCGAGGCCTTGCTGAGCCGGGTGCGCCGCATAGTTTTCTTTTCTCCATCGGGTCTGCCGGTTTTTGTGGAACGGGACAGCACAGTGAGCACTTGATCTCCAGGGAAGGTTCAAGGCTCGCGAGCCCTGTGGCCGGGCTGCCGAGATTAGAACCTGACTGGCGATAAGTCGCGCGCCCACTTTCCGGGAGCCCGGGAGCGGCGGGCGGCTGGGCTGACCGGCCGAGCGGCGGCGGGTGACGCGTGGGAAAGTGTCGGCCGACGGCGGCGGGCGCGGCGCGCCGCGGCCGATGCGTGTCGCTCACCGGTCGCTGTCGACACGACGCCGAAGCCGTGACGGGCGCCGCCGCCCGCCCGCTGGGAACGGAGAGCAGAGACGGCCGCGTTACGTGCCGCCAGATTTCCCGACTCAGCTTTGTGCTGAGTCGGAGTGGAGTCACAGCGCCGGGCGCTCTCACACAGTCGGCTCTCACGACGGACATTTGGCAACAAAGACGCAGTCCAGGCGTAAAGCGCTCTAGGTCGGCGCGGCCTACCGTGGGACTTTTGTGCAATAATGGAATCATTTGCTGGGCGCAGTTACGAGTTTCGAGTATTCTCTGGTGCTCTCCCACGATTGTCTGAGCACCCAGTGGATGACCGTGTGCTTCAGTATCCATTGTTTGACCGTGTGCTCTCCTTGTGTCCTCAGAGCCGCAGCCGGCGCCTCTGCCCGTGCTTCGGCCGACCAACGAGGAGCTGGAGCGATGGACGCGACCGGCGCTGGCCGCTCTCACCATCAACGCTCCACCGCCGCACGCGCAGCAGCCTCCGCTGCCTCTGCCGGCTCCGCAGCCGCAGCCGCCGGCGCTGGCCGTCAAGTACCACACCCACTGCGTCTTCTCCCCGCTGCTGCTGCACCCGTGAGTATACCGTACCGGGGCGGAGCGGGGAGTCCCGCTGCTTTTCCGCAGACCCGCCTGTGGTTTTCTTGGCACGGCTTTTGATCGGTTAGGCTGATGTTGGCGGTTGGCTGGGGCGGGATGGGGGCGGGGCTGTCAGCGGTCTGCTCCCCAGAAGTCTTTGTTTTCACGGCCAGTCATGTAGCATACCGTTCTCCGCTGTGGCTACGGTACACGAAACCGTCAGCCGCTATCAACGGAACGTTTCGTGATAGAGCTTTGTTCGGTAACGGTGATTTTCTGCTCGGCAGACCGTTTCGATTTGACTGCTGACAACGCACAGTGTCGGGCCCATTCAATCCATGCATTGTACTCGGCCGTCGATATGCCTCGTGCGTTCAGAATCGAGCGCTCGAGTGACACTACTGTGCCTTTCGCCCGCTTCCGGCGACTTTCGCCGAGTCTAGCCATGCTCTGCCTCGTCCCGCTGACATGAACAGTTTTCAACCGTTCTCCGCATCTAATCGATCCCCGCTGCCGTTACCCGTAACTGACGACCCTCCTTCCATTCCCTGTGTCTGACGGCCTTCCTTCTCTCCTTTTCTCTGTGTCTGACCATCCCTCGCCTTCATGCTCTGTGACTGAACTGCCCAGTACCCACGTCTCTCGTTCTCCACGTCTGACGGTCCTCTGTCTCTCTCGTTGCAGGCGTGTGCGTGGCCGGAACGTGACCGTCTCGCCGGACCGGACCGTAGCTGCTCGCCTCGAGGGCGAGTTCTGTAACGGCTACGTGTTCGGCCAGCGGCCGCTGCGGCTCGGCGAGCGGCTGGTCGTGCAGGTGCTCTCCCGGTGCAGCCTGTACGTGGGCGGTCTGGCGTTCGGCCTGACCTCGTGTGACCCGTCTCGGCTGACGCCCGCTGAGCTGCCCGATGATGCTGACCTGCTGTTGGACCGGCCCGAGTACTGGGTGCTGGCGAAGGATGTGGCACGCACCCCGGCGCCTGGTGACGAGCTCAGCTTCAAGATCAACGGCACCGGCGCCGTGGAGTTCTCGAGGAACGGCGGCGCGGCTCAGGTGCTGATGCACGTGGACGCCTCGCTGGACCTGTGGCCGGTGCTGGATGTGTTCGGCGGCACCGGCCGGATCCGCGTGCTCGGCGTCACCTCCGAGCTGACGCCGGGCTGCGCGGCCCCTCCGCCGGTGCGCGCTGGCTCCGAGCACAGTCTGCCGGTGCCGGCGCGGCCGAGCCAGCCGCTGCCGCCGCCGCCGGCCGAGCTGCAGCCGGCCGCCGCCGCCGACTGCGCCGTCTGCTTCGAGCGCGCCTCGGACGCGGCGCTCTACTCGTGCGGCCACGTGTGCATGTGCTACTGCTGCGCCGTGCAGTGGAAGGCGCGCGGTGGTGCAGTGTGCCCCATTTGCCGGGCGCCCATCAGGGACGTGATCAGGCTCTACCGCAGCTAGGACAGGGCGCGGCGGTACAGAGGGACAACTCGGGACAGTAGGTTGGCGAACTCGCGGACCAGACCGACTGTGGGGTACAGAGTTCCGTCTGTAGTCAGGTGTGGCACTGAGCGATAGTCAGGACGCCAGACGAGCTCCGGCGGCGCCGCAGAGGACAGGTGGCGCCCCCCACCGAGCAGAGAGTGTAAGATAGTGAGAGCTGTTCTTCCTCTGGACAGAGCAACAGGCAGCTGGGCTTGCACCGCACGGGAACGGGAGTGGAGTTTGGGAAGTGGGAGTTGATGTGACAAGTTTGTCGGAGGCGTGATATGCTAGTCAAACAATTGCCTCCTTCCTCACTTAGTGTGCGTGTATGTGTGTTTTCTGTATACCATGTAAGTGTTGTTTCTTCGTACATCTGTCGTTGACTAGACACTTGCTAATCTGTTTTCTTCTGCAAGGAAACTATCCCCTGGTTGATTCTAGTCGTAGCCAAGAAGTTGACATATTATTTAACGCAAGAGTATATATGCACATCGTGATTATGTTGTGTATTGTGGGCGCACGCAATACATTTTCTACGTAAATGTACTAATTAGTTTGTCACTGTGACATTTGGATTTTCGGTTAGTCTGGTGGAGGGATGGCCCAGTTACGGTTTGTGAGGATAAGCAGACAGTTCGACGAGCAAGGGAGCGTGGAAATTCATCCGACTTGATAAACCTCCGATGACAAGTCCGTACCTACTCAAAACATTATATGACTCACTTGAAAAGCAAAGCAGATAGTGACAATTAGGATGGGTTTACGCATCAAAGATCGCAAGACGGTTGCCTTCTAGATTTAAAACACCCAGGTGGTCACCGTACAAAGCCTGCCATACCTAAACGCATTAGTTTGGAACTAATCCAGACCGTGCGTTCCTCATAATCAAACAGCGGAACTAAGCCACGTCCGGACCCCTACACTTGACCCCGACCTCTAAACGTCTAAATCATCTCTGGAGACCTTGGCCAGGATAATGAGGATCCAGCTCGGCAATGAGGGTTTGTTTCGGGAGTGAGTAGAATTTCCGCCGTTTGTTTCGTGTGTTTCACCGCTCCTGACATGAGGCCTGTCGCCGGAACTTAGGACAGCGCTGGCTGACGACTGGCTCCCGCTGACGAGCGGTGATGGGATCTGTTGGGAGACCCGTGTTGTCCTGACGGGGTTACATCAATGCCCTGTCGAAATATGACGACGTATCGTGGGTGGGAAAGGCAGAAGAGTAGGGCACTGGGAGACAATCGAGACATGACAGGGTAGATATTGTAACAATGTAAAAGAAGGCGAATTTAGAAACGCTCACCATGATAGGGGCGATTTGATGTAAGGGCAGCATTGCAGCTTTAAGTGTCTAAGAAGCACCGACGGATGAGAACGTAAGAAGCTAGTCGTGTGAGTCTGGAGAGAGTAAAATGATCTGTACTGGGGTCAGAACAGCTAACCCAAGATACGCTGAATGGCGAGCAACGTCTGTGACGGTCAATACATATGGGAACTGTTGGAAGTTTCCACGTATGTACATATCTACGGTACTGCGAAACCACTAATCATTCCTAGTCTGATCAAATTCCAATTCTGCCCCAAACGCGAGCGACTCCTCTGCTCATTTCAGACCCAGGTTCAACCACAATCCGGGTCGGATCACTCATATCTTCTGCTCTCCCGATAACAGCACTTTTCCACTTCAGCGGAAAAAGGAGCGACCAGCGGCACGCGCCCGAGCAAAAAAGGCCGGCACGTGCCCCTCGCCGAGATAAAATAACTGACCGTTGGGATACAGTCGAGAACTGATGGAGAGCGGCGCGCCCGGCGCCCCTGGGTGGGTTTTTGTACGGTCTAGGGACGGTCAGTCGTGACAGGACGGTGATGAAATCGCCGGCAGGAGACCAGAGGACACGCTCAAAACGGGCGGCGTCAGATGCGCCGACGCAGATAGGAGAGAACAGCAGCGACAGCTGGCCATCAGTGACAGTGGTGAAATGTCACATCTGGAATGAGCGAGTATCGGTAACGCAATCGTAGTCAGTACACCTCAGACGTTCTCATTTATGATAAAATGAATGCCAGATTCTCAGAAGTCCATTCCAAAACACAGTAAATTAAGTTATCAGAAACACCATTTATTATATCCGCATTGAAAATGCACGACAGATTTACTCCACCAAACACACATACACACACCACGATGAGTGCCATAGTTGTACACTGCAGACAAACCAAAGTACCAGAGAGAACACAAGTGGTCGAGCGCAAAGACGGAGACGAAAGATTACGTCAAAATCGGGCAGTCGAGTTCGCCTGATGAGCCTAGATTTGCCCATTATTCAGTGACATTGCGATTTTATACCAACCCAGATGGCCAAGTTGGTACAAATCAACAGCTGAAAACGATATAATCAGAATTGGACAGGAGCCACCTCAAGAACGCAGAAGAGACAGGACGAGGAAGGTTTGCTTGTGATGGTATAGGAATTGAAGGAACCAAATATGAGATCCCACATCTAAATACAAATGTACTAACGCTATCTATCCGATGGCGGCAGCGTTCCATTACCTCAGAGCCGAACGGAGGGAGCGGGGAGGATCGATGAAAGAGGGACACGGCTGGGCTGCACGGCCGCAGCGTCCATGCACACACACATGCTACCAATGAGAGCTGGTCGGTGGCTGATGTAGGCATCTGTCACACTAGCCGCGGACCCAGCCCGGGGCGTAGGACCGGTCACCGAGCGCCAAATGGTGATGGCGACCACTGGACCACCACATCGCCAACCAGTCCAGAGGAGACCCAAACAGAAACATCTCAAACAAATCAGTACAAAATATCTAGTGAAAACCAAACCAAACTAAAAACACTAGCTGAACCAAACCAAAATACCTCTAAAATCAAACGTATCTATGCGCCCGCACTAGCAGGGCGTCACATAACTTAACAACAGAGCGGCGGGGACCGGGCGGGGCCGGGGAGGGATGGAACCTCACCTCCCCGCGGTCCGGCCGGCCGTCCGCCGCTCAGAAAGGAACACAGCCATGGGTCTGCCCCCGGTTGACGAGCTCGGCTTCCTCAGACGCGCGACAGCTGGTGGAGGATGTTGGAGGGCAGGATCGCCTCCAGCTTGTCCAGCACGTACTGGATCGGCATGTACGACCAGCTGAGAATCTGTCGGCAAGAGAGAACAGCCTGAAACAATGCCTGCGGAACGCAAGTCCACATAAGAACGGGATACATAAAGGCAGTAAAAAAAGAAGACGAGAGCAGCAATGGAGAACTCAAAACAATGAATAACAGCACAAAACACGAGCACGTTTTCACCGAACACAACACAAAAGCTTGAACAAAAGATGGGTCTCCAAACACAGGCCCCGGCAATGACCACCACCACAGACCGGACCTTGACCATGGATGGATCACGGGCAATCATGGTCAATAGTCACGTAAAACAATGCACGGAACGTCACTGACCGTTTTGGCGACGATGCCCATGGGCTCCGGGTACTGGTGGGTAAGCAGCGCCAGGATAGCCGTGCAGGAGCACAGCGCGCCCGTGAACAGGATGAAAAACGGCAGCTCCTTCTTCGGGTACACGCTCACCTCGTGGAACGCTGAAGCAAAACGAGGGGTGTGCGAGTGAGACAGCTCAGTAGGAACTCCCCAGGAGAATGAATTATACAGAAACGGATGGGCTTCCATCTGGAGCTCAGGCTAGCTGTACAATGTACTGCAACAATTTTCTCTCTTCAACCACTTACGTTAATGAATAAAATAACCAAGTGAACTTTAAGTTATACATTTTATCAATATAATTGATGCTAAAAAGCCTCAGCCAACCAGACATTAACAGCCATGAGCACACCTCATCTTTGTACTCACAGGGCAGCAGCTCCCTGTCGGCGAACTCGGTGCTGTTGGGGTAGGGGAAGAACAGGTGTCCCTTCTCCAGCGGGTAGGGGATCATACGGAACGTGCCCTCCCACGTGCAGTGGAGCAGGTTCAGCGCCCCGTCCACCCGCTTCCAGTGCGGCAGGTGGAAGAAGGAGTAGGCGATGGCCTCGCTGTCACCGCGCTTCAGGATGTGCTCGGTGGGTAGGATGAGCGGCTTCATCTCCAGCAGGTACTTGGGCACGTGCGGGTTGAACTCGACGGCCCGGTGGATGGCCTCCACGGCGGCCAGCTCGGCGGCCGTCAGACCGCGCTTGGTCGCCACGTCCGGAGAGAACCTGTCCGAGGGAGCAGATGTTGAGCGTCACGTCACCACGGATCGAGCTCGGCAGTCAGCTCATCCGGCAATACTAGATAAAACGGAGGGTGATGGGTCAACATAGGCATTGCAACATAAGCATTGTTCACGGAGGAAACAACTGTAGCACAACTTTTTTTGTCGGCAATGACAAAAAAAAACTAAAAAATATCGTTTTTGTAAAAATAATATGAAAAATACGCTTTCCCAACCGTCTTCATTCGGCAAACCCACAGCAGTGAGCAGACCCAGCAATATTTTTTCACAAATTTTTCACTTAAAGAGCCCGCCCACTCTAGTCCCATCCACCTACTTGTCCGCCACGGCCCTGGCTTTGAGCAGCGCGGCCGTGTAGCAGATAGTGGCCGACTTGGGCAGGCTGATGTCGTCGTAGCGCGCCAGCACCGCCTGCGCGTCCACGTACGCCTGCGCCTCCAGCAGCGCCTCCAGCAGGTTCTCGTGCATGTTCAGCACCGACATCCACGGAGGCGACTCCTTCAGGAGCTGTACGGGAAAGGAGAGAATGTCAAAGAGAGGGAAAGTCTGATTCATGACAGGGCTATCAATTTTTAGCTCCTACGTACAAAACTACGCGAAACCCGTGTCAGCAATCGATTAATTATTATAACATGAACAAAATAAGACCAATTGTGTAGATTTTGAAGCTTCAAATCTGTCCACCACCGTCTCACACCTAGGGCAGGGACTGGGGAAAAACGACACAGAATCACCACCACACATGTGGCAAGGTGAAGGGAAGCTGGTGTGCGGTCACTCACGTCTCTGAACATTTTGATGGCCTCCTTGAGCCGGCCGAGCCGGCGGGTGCACATGGCAACCCGCCGCTTCACGTAGATCAGCACGTTCATGTCGCGTCCTGGGGCAGGGAGAACGGCGTCACAACGCTGCGACAGGCTATAAATGGCTGGCCACTGAACGGTCACAGATCTCGTTTAGCTTTACTACCAAATGGCTTTGTGAGTTAGTCAGTAGTCAGGTGCGAGTAACAAAGAATGAACAAACTTAATGAGTAACATCATCATTTTCGCGTCAATGTCTTCAGCCACCACTCCTTTCCAGTAATTATTTGTTTACCAGTTACCACGGAGACATTCCAGCAGACGGTGCTTCATTGTCATTCCCTTTTCACCGCTCCAAAGCCACCCATCAGGATCACCAAGCCCAGCCAGCCAGCCCACACACTCGTCAACTTACTGTGCAGACTCTCCTGTGGCGAGTTGCTGTCGCGATAGATGACCGTTTTGCGGAAGTTAGCCTCGGCCACGCGCAGTGCCTGTTTGAGGATAC